CTCCCCCCAGGAGGGGTCCCGGCACGCGGCCGAGGCGCCCCTGCGCCCTACCGCCGCCGCGAGTCCGAGCGGCCCCGCCGGCGCGACGGCGAGCGACGCCGCGAGGGCGAGCGGCGCCGCGAGCGGCTGCGGCTGCGGGAGCGCCTCCTGTCTTGTGAGCGACGGCGGTGCTGATGGCAAGGATGGCGAAGATGGGGATGGTGACGAGAATGGAGCAGATGCCGGTGCCAGTGAAGGTGAAGATGAAGATGGAGACGGAGATGAAGACAGAGTTGAAGATGGAAATGAAGATCAAGATGAAGATGAACAGGGAGGTGAAGGTGAAGGTGAAGATGATGATGATGATGGTGGTGATGATGATGATGGTGATGATGATTACGGTGATGGCGATGAAGATGAAAATGGATGTCGAGATGAAGATGAAGATGAAGATGACGATGCAGATGAATATGAAGATGATGCTGCTGATGACGATGCTGGTCATAATGATGACGAGGAGGCGGAGGGGGAGGATGATGAGGAGAGAATTGATGATGAGGTTGACGATGATGATGGTGATGATGATGATGCCGATGATGCCGATGATGATGATGATGATGATGATGATGATGATGACAAGGAGGAGAAGGGGTGGGAGGAGGGAAACGATGAGAAGGATGGTGAGGACGATGCGGATAATGGTGACGATGATGATGATAAGTATGATAATGATGGTGATGATGATGATGATGATGATGATGATGATGATGATGGTGATGGTAATGGTGATGGCGATGGTAATGATGATCTCCGATGATGATGATGGTGGTGGTGAAGATGATAATGATGATGACTTGGAAGAGGAAAACTAGGACAATGATAGTAATGATGAAAGGAAGAGCGGGAGGAAGAGGGGGAGGGGGATAACGAGGAGGATGAGGAGGGGTGGAGGAGGCAGTAGGTGGAGGAGGCAAGAAGAGGCACGGTGCGCAGCTCCGCAGTCATCCTCATGTCTGCCCTCTCCTCCTCCTCCTCCTCCTCCTCCTCCTCCTCCTCCTCCTCCTCCTCCTCCGCCTCCTCCCATCCCTTTCCTGGCAAGCAGCTCCTTCTCGCCGCACCACTTAGCGTGTCGGATGGGCGGGCCAGACGTGTCGCCTGAGAACCCCTCGCCGCGGATGGTCCTGAAACCCCTTTTTCAACAGCTACACGGACCGAGGGCGAGTCGTGTCCAAACTGTGACCATCGCTAAAGCGCCGCGCACATTCCTCTTCAGAGATTCCAACCGCTACAAGGATGGAGGGCGTGAGGCGTAAAATACGTCGGTCGCTCAAGGCTGCATCACAGAGGTGTGTCCAGAAGTGTAAACTTGCAGAATTGCTAGGAGGACGAAGGTTGGAGAGTTGTCGCAGGTGTTGCGCTCGTTTGGGGAGAACGGTGAAACAAACGAATGGTACAATGATATGCTACAGCTACAGGAATGGAAGGCAGTTCGTTCTTAAATTTGGGCCCTCGTAGGACGCTGTCTGGCACTTTTGTTACGTTGTTTGCTTCTCAAACTGTATGACCATACCTCTTCGCGCTTTGTCTGATTGCTTGAAGGACGCAAGGGAGCTCATGCTCACAACAGGGCTCTCGCCCGAATGGCAGACGTTCGGGGGATTCGTATTTCAAGGAAGCTCGTCTCCCAATGAACAGGAATGCTTGCTGGGACTTGTGACAGGCGGATGTACTGCAGCATGTTTTTTACACCCTGGGCCTGTTCGTGGCCCTCTTCCTCCCTCCTCCCGCCTCCCTCCTCCCGCATCCAACCCCCCCGCCCCTCGCCTCCCTCCTCCCTCCTCCTTATCCTTCTTTGCCTTTTCCTTATGGATGACGCCCCCTGTCGCACAGCGAGGCGTTTCGCCTGAAGCTTTCTCATTCTGTATGACCATGAAGCTGAACATGTGCAACTGTTTTACGGATGGGGGGAGGGCCGCTTTCAAAATGTGGCTCTTGCCTGAGCGCCGCGGACAATCGTCTTCAAAAACTGCAACCGTTTTACGGATGGAGGGCGGGTGGTTTTTTCAAATGTAGCTCTCGCATAAGCACCGTGCAACTCGATTAAAACAATTGCCAGAGCTTCACGGAGGGAGGGCGGGTGGTTTTCAACCTATCGCTCTCGCCTTGTCGCCGCACACATTCGCTTAAAAAACGTGGAAACAATTTGCAGATGGAGAGCAGTGTCTGATCAACATGTGGATCTCGCCTTCGTTTTAAAAGTTTACACCTGTCGCAGGGGCTCTCAAGACTAACGTCCCAGAAAAATGTCTTGGCCGACGTCGGACAGTCATGGGCGTAACATTTTCGTTGGTTCGCGGTGTTGAAGTCCCAGGGGCTGCGATCTGGCACAATGCAGGATCGTCAAGAGGCAACAGTAACGTTGATTCGCGGCGTTGAAATCCTAGGAATGGCGATCTGGCGCAACTCAACACTTTCACAAGGTTGTCTTCCAATGGGGCACCTCTATCCATAACAATGAATCCTTTTTATGGGGCCTCCGAGGGGACTTGGAGGAAAAGTTGACTGCAGCATCGTCGATGAGTCTTGGGTTTGCACTGGTCCTCCTTCCTCCTCCTCCTACTCCTCCTCCTCCTCCTCCTCCTCCTCCTCCTCCTCCTCCTGTTCCTCCTTCCCCTCCTCCTTCTTGTCCCCCTCCTCCTCCTCGTCCCCCTCCTCCTCCTCCTCCTCCCCCTCCTCCTCCTCCTCCTCCTCCCTCCTCCTCGGGACGCCGCCGGGCTCGCACGCTCCACGGGCCCCTCTCGGGCCCCCGTGGGCCTCGGGGCCGCCCCCCGGGGCCGCCCCCCGCGAGCCCGCGGGGGTCTCCGCGCGTGCTTCTCCGGAGGGGCCCCGGGGCACACCAAGGAACAGACACCAAATCCCAGGATTCCCCATATCTTTTCCTATGTTCTCGGTGCTCTCGTCTCCTCCCACGCCTTCCTGGGAAGCGATGATTCATCGTGTCTGTGTGTGTGTTCTTCCCTCCTGATTCTTGGCTCGGCGCTGGATCTCCCCCCCGCCCCTTCCCGATGATCCTCAGAACGTGTGTCGGTGCCAGCGCGTGCTGTTACACCGAGGCCCTTCCAGACGGCGAAGGCGGTGTCGCAACGCGCGGCACTGGCCGAGCGGGATGAACCCAAATTAGGCTGACGTCGATGACTGAGGGGAGCGGAGGGAATGCAAATCAGGAGGAGGAGGAGGAGGAGGAGGAGGGCGATGGGGAGGAGGAGGAGGGGGAGGAGGAGGAGGAAGATGAGGAGGAAGAGGAGGATGGGGAAGGGGGGATGAGGAGGAGGAAGAGGAGGAGGAGGAGGAGGAGGAGGAGGAGGAGGGGGAGGAGGAGGAGGAGGAGGAGGAGGAGGAGGAGGAGGAAGAGGAGGAGGAGGAGCAGGAGAAGGATCATCGGGCTTCCCACCTCTCCTCACTGGCGCCTCCGGCGCCGCCCCTCGGGCAAATGCTTCATGGGGGGGGGCATGGGGGGAGGGCAGGGCTCGACCGAAACGGCGTTTGGCGCCCCGTTTCGGCGTCGCCGTCTCCTGGCGTGTCTTCGTTCCGCCGTGGCCGCAAAGCGATGTCGAAGCACGAGCACAGACCAAAACATCGCTCAGGGGGAGCCCTTGGGGGAGGGGGGTGAGGAAAGGTGTGCCTTTCGTGCACGTTCGGGGCTCCAGGGGGCCCCCTCGAGGCCTCAGGGCTCCCTTGGGACCCCTCGGGGCCTGCAATGCGAAATCGAAGCACAAACGACCCAGAACATCGCTTAGGTGGATGGGGTTAAGTCGGGCCTGTCCCTCTGCAGGGGGAATATTCAAAATAGTCAAAAAATAGTCAGGGGACTATTATTGGGGTATTTAGGAACATGTTTGGGGCATTTGGGGTGTATTTTTCATGTTTCGTGCAAAATACCCCTGTAGGGGGGACAGGCCCGACCTAAGGATGGGGCGAAGACAGCTGCGCCTTTCGTGCACATCGGGGGCTCCCTTGGGGCCCCCCTCACCGCAGCCGTCGATCCCCCCACTTGTGGTCCCACCACTCGAGCATCGGATCGACTACAGAATCGATCTGCCTGGACAAATGTTCATGGAAGACAGAAAGCTGCCTGCCCAGCAGCGGCCGCAATCGGTTTGGGACATCATTTGTAGTTGGGCATCGTGCCACGGCGTCCATGGGGAGGGAGACCAAAAGGTACCCATACCGCTACTCCCCTGACTTCTCTGGGGGTGCGTCCTGACCAGAATCTCGAGGCGAATCCAGCGGTAGCGACGAGGGCCTCCCGGGAGGCCCAAAAAGGAGAAAACTAGGGAAAGGCAGCAGCATGGGTAATTTTGTTTGGTTGTTGGCGAAAGGCATTTGTTGTTGGGCACTGTGCCAGTGTTTTCAGTACCCATTCTGGGTGTCTAAATGGGTGGGCCGGCACTGGGCTTCCTCCCAAAATGCATCCTGTGACGCATGGCACGTGGCAGCCGCGTGCTGATGTTGCACGAAGTGCGCACCATGCACGGACGCACATGTCGAAGCTTTTGTCGAGAAGGGGCTGGCCATCGAAAGCGAATAAGGATTGACCGAAGAGGCAGAGATGCAAGGGTACCTTTGGGAAGGCCACCCATCCTTACAATCGGTGTCGACTGTATGCTCAAAAACTGTTGCTTAGGGTGTCGCGGTTGCGGCCCCGGCGATTGCGGCCCCGGCAACACGCTATGCCCTGCGAGCGGGTAGCGCGTCGCTCCGCTACGCGGGGAGGGAGACTGGGGAAGGCTCAGGACGGTGACGCTCGGGGACCGGACAGTGGATAGCGTGTTGCGCCGGAGCTTGGTGGGCCAGAACTGGCGGAGCGACACTCTAAGCCAAACTTCTCGACCGCAAGGAGGAGGAGGAGAATGAGGAGGAGGAAGTGGAGGAGGAGGAGGAGAATGAGGAGGAGGAGGAGGAGGAGGAGGAGGAGGAGGAGGAGCAGCGACACGCTATCCAAAAGTTCCCACATGCCCTTCTGCCACCATTCGGCCCTCTGGGTCCTGGAGTCGGAGCGCCCGCGGCCCCCGTCGTCGTCGCCCCTCAGCTTCTCCTGGATCAGCTCGTTGACGAGGCGCTCGGCCGCCATGCGCCCCTTGTCGCTGGTCTTGCTGCCCGGGTCGTGGCCGAAGATGAGAAGGCGCTCCTCGCCCTTGGCGTCGAGGGCCATGAACATGAACACGCTGGTCTCCTGCTCCATACCTGGCGGCTCCGAGGGGCGTGGCTTGAGCAAGGGCGTGGCCTCCAGCCGGCACCCGGGGGGGCACCCTGGGGGGCGGGCGGGGACCTCTCGAGGGGGCTCTCCGCCGCTCCCTGGGGAGGCCCGGCGAGGACAGCGTCGTGCCCCCCCAGGCCCCGACGGCGCCGACGACCCCCCCCCGGCGCAACCACACGCTTTAGAATCGCCGAGATACGCCGCAGCTCGCTGCCACGGTTCCCCGTGACCCAGCCCTTGCAGTTCTCCGGGATGAACATCTCGGTGGTGTCGTCGCGGCGGGAGACGTCGGGTATCGTGACGGAGCCGCGCCGCTGATCCAACAGCCACTTCAGGAACTCCCGGCAGCGCTTGCGCTCTGGGTACTTCCCAGCGACGGTCGAGGAACAAGACAAGGCAGAGACTCAAATTTCCGGAAGTCAGCGCGGATATCCAGGATTGAGGCTGGACCCCCCCCTCCCTGACGCGCGGAGCGCGCCAGGGGCGGCGCCAGAGGCACCGCCAAGGAGGTCCAGCACCGATCAAAGAAATCCGCCCGGAGCTCGGAAAGTCTATGCTTGTGCTGTGTTTTTCTTCCTCGAGATGAAGCAGACATGCCCCACATACTGGAGGATGGCGCCAGCCGCCACCTCCAGCTTCTTGCGCGTGGTCCCCTCCTTGCCCAGGGCGTAGCTGAGCTCGTCGTCCTTGAAGACGATCCTCTCGGTGTCGAACCTAGAAAAAGGAAACACGCCATAAACATAAACTCTTGGCGTTCCGCGCGGAGTTCTTGGATCTGCGCTGGACCCCCATCCCTGGCGCGCGGAGCGCGCCAGGGGCGGCGCCAGAGGCGCCGCGGGGGGGGGGGGGCCTGGCGCCGATCCAAGAAATCCGCGCGGAGCGCAAAAGTGTATGTTTATGGCGTGTTTTCTTCTTCGAGAACCCCCTCTCGTTGCTCTCCTTGTCCCGGACGCCCCTGGTGAACTTGCCGGGCGACTTATTCTCCACGGTGCTCATGACCATGAGCTCGGCGCCGCGGCGCCCGCGCTCGGGCCCAAATATGATCAGCATCTCCTGGCGCCCCCGCTCCTGGTTGCAGGTCGGGCATGTCCCCCGACATGCCGATTTTAGGAGAGAAACTCAGAATTGACCAAACAATGCTCCAAAAACAAAAAGAAATGGTAAACACAAATCGTCCCCAGACTATTTTTGGACTATGTTTGCATTCCTCCTGTAGAGGGACGTGCCCGACTTAATCCTGGTTCTTGCTCATAAAGAACATGAGCACGCCCCAGTCCTCCTCCATGCGGGAGAGCGTGGCGCGGCGGTTGCCAGTGATGTACCCCACACAATCGCCAGGGATGTCCACCACGCAGCAGTCGGTGCGGTCCTCCCAGCCCTCGACGTAGACGGGTCCCTCCAGCTGCATGAAGAGCCACTTCATGTACTCCTTTGCGCGCTTGCGGGCCTTCTTCTCCCCGGAGAAGAGGGCGTTGTGGCCCAGGTACTGCACGATGGCGCCCGAAGAGCGCTCGATCTTCTTGCGCGTGGCCCCCTGCTTCCCCAGGGCATAGGACAGCTCGTCGTCCTGGAAGGTCAAGGTGTCGGTGCCCCAGGTGCCCGTCTCGTCCTTTGAATATGGAAGAACAGAGAAACTGCATAAAGACAAGTTCTCGGAGGTCCGCGCGGATTTCTTGGATCGGCGCCGGACCCCCCTCCCGGCCCAACGTCGATCCAAGCAATCCGCGCGGACCTTCGAGAAATCATGCTGATGTCGTTTGTGTTCGGCTGCACGCAAGAGCAACCATGGGTAAGAGTAACCTGTGGTGCGCGGCTTCCAGGGAGCCGCGGGGGGGGGAGGGGGGGGGGAGACCCAAGCGCGCCAGACAGAGCCATCCCATCGCCGTCGGCGATCGGGGGGCCCTTTTGGGCCCGCACCAGAGGCCACTCTGGCGAAGGGTCACTCTTACGTGTAGTCCATGTGTGTTTTCTTCGATCTTCGACCACACCGCTCACCCTCCGGGTCTTCGCCTCCGGCTCCTGTCCAAGGCGTTCCTTGTCCTGTGCAAGCTCCTCGGCACCGCCTGCACCCCGGCCCGCCCTCCAGCCGCCTGAGGCCTCGCCCGCCTGTGCTCTGTCTCCCCAATTAGTGCTTTGCGCGGCCCGCCTAGCTCTTAATCGGAAGAGGCTCGCTCTCGGCCCGCAGACCAAAAAGTGTGTTTTCTTTGAGTCCTTGCCCTGGTCCCTCTGCACGACCTCGTCCTTGACCTTGTCGTAGTGGCCCGGCTTCTTGGTCTCCACGGCGGATAGCACCTCTACGAGTGGCAGCGACATGGGGCGTGAATGGCTCAAGAGGGGGGTAGGCTTCGACCTGGAATCAACCTGTCCTCCCCCTCCTCCTCCTCCTCCTCCTCCTCCTCCTCCTCCTCCTCCTCCTCCTCCTCCTCGTCCTCGTCAGGGTGCCAGGATCACGCTTCAGGGTGCTGGGTGCGTCGTCGTTCCGCCGGAAGGGGGCCCGGGGGGGGGGGTTCTTAAGAGCTTCATGGAACTAGCCGACAGATCGTCGATGGGCCCCCGATAGCAGATCCGCACCGTCCAGGGCGGGGCGGGCTCTCGGGCCCCCCATCGGCGATCAGTGGGCGATCGGGGGTCGATGCATCGTGGCGGCGCGCAGAGGGCGGTTAGAGGGGGAAGGGGGGGAGCTGCCTCGAGGGAGGCTGCCTCTTAGAAGGCGCCTGCCCTACATCCATAGCGAAGGCCCGCGCCTCCTGAGAGGCAGCCTCCTGCTGAGAAGCCTTCCAGCCTCCCCCCTCCCCCTACCCCCCTCTGCCCGTGGCCGAGCACCCCCCCCCTGAGCCTATTTTCCCCCCTGAGCATTGCCCCTGGGCCTTGAGCTCGGCGCCGCGTCGCCCCTGTACGCTCCCGAAGATGGCCAGCTTCTCGTACTCCCGGTCGCGGCGCCCCGACCCCACATCGCAAAAGAACATCAGCGTGCACCACTCTTCCTCGCGGCGACTCCGAACCCAGACACCCCCCGGGCATGAAAGGATCACGACGGGAAGCTGTTGGCAATTCTGGGCCATCGGGGGCCCTCGCCGGGCCCCAGGACTGTCAAAAAACAACTCAGGATGACAAGCCAGTCCCGGAGAATGGGTCGAGACCTCCGGGGGCCCACGTCATGAAAAAACCATGGCGTCGGGGGTCTGGGGAGGGTGTGGTTTGCAGAGGATGCGGCTTGCAGCCCGCGCACGGGGGGGCAGCCGAGCAGCCCGACGGAGTTCTCCGCCGCGGCCCCGGCGGGGGATCATGACGCAAGCTTAGGTTGAGAATGTCACCCTACAGGTGGATTTTGGACGAAAAATAACATATCCATATATATATATAATCGAACAATCGTCCCCAGGCGGTTGTTTACTACTTTTGAATGTTCCTCCTGTAAAGAGAAAAAGGCCCGACTTAAACGTAAGCCTGTGGCGCAACACGGTGCCCCCCAAGCTCCAAAGGCGCAAATGGCAAACCACTCCCCTGCGTAACCACACCCATTGGAGTCGCCGATCCTCGATCGTCCGCAGGAAATTGCCGGCCCTTCCGGTCACGAAGCCTACTGTCTCCTGGGGCACCATCAGCATGGTCAGGTCTCCGTCGTCGTAGTCATCCGTGATAGTGACTGGGCCAGTCCTCTGCGCCATGACGCCCTCGGCGTACTTCTTCGCCCGCCGCCGCTGCATCTTGGATCCTCGGATCTCGAGAATAAGGTCCCTCTCGAAGAGCTCGATCTCCGCCTCTGAGACGCGTGCGATCTTCTCCTTCGTCTTACCGCCCTTTCCCAGAATGAATGCCGCGTCGTCGTCGCTGATCTTCATGGTGTCCACGCCGTAGTCGTCGGGTTTCCTCTTCTGAGCAGCGCGACTACCGCTCCGGCTGCGACTCCTGGAGACCGCCCAATTGAAACTGGAGTCATCGGGGTCAGGATCGCGCACAATCGCCGATAATTGAAAGAGCGTGTTCTACCGCTGCTGGCGGAAAACTGGGGGGGTCACTGGGGGTTCCCAACCCGTCCCCCCCCCCTCGAAAACCGGGGGGGGTCACTACCGGCTCGACACGCCCCCCAGTCCATCATGAAAAGGGGGGGGGGTCACCCCCCCCTCGAAAACCGGGGGGGGTCACTACCAGTTCGAACCCCCCCCCCTTCGCCGCCAGCAAACGATTCCCGCTCCTCGGGACAGATGGACAGGTGGTAGGGATACTGGGTCAGTGGTGGGGACGGTGGTGGTGGGGACAGCGATATGGGGACAGTGGGACAGTGGTGCGGACAGTGGTGCGGACGGTGGTGGTGGGGACAGTGATGTGGGGACAGTGGGACACTGGTGGGGGCACTGGTGGGGACGGTGGTGGTGGGGACAGTGGTGAGGGTACAGCGGGACAGTGGTGGGGACAGTGGAACAGTGGTGGGGACGGTAGTGGTGAGGACAGTGGTGCGGGCGGTGGTGAGGACGCTGGTGGGACAGTAGTACAAGTGGGGAGAGTGGCGGGGACAGTGGGGACAGTGGGACAGTGTTTGGGACAGTGCGGATAGTTGTACAGCACAGTGGGACAGCGGCGAGGACAGTGGCGACAGTGGGACAATGGTGAAAACAGTGGGGACAGTGGGACAATGGTGGGACCGTGGGGAAAGTGGGGACAGCGGGACCGTGGTAGGACAATGGCGGGGAGAGTGGGGACAGTGAGACACTGGTGGGGGCACTGGTGGGGACAGTGGGAACAATGGTGGGAACAGTGGGGACAGTGGGACAGTGGTGGGGACTGTGGGACAGTGGTGGGGACGGTGGTGGTGGGGACAGTGGTGTGGGGACAATGGGAATGTGGTGGGGACAGTGGGACAGTAGTGGTGGGGACAGTGGTGAGGGCGGTGGCGAGGACGGTCGTGGGACAATGGATGTAGTGCGGACGGACGGTGGTGGGGACCCAGGAGTCGTTTGCTGGCGGTGAATGTGGGGGGGGGTTCGAACCGGTAGTGACCCCCCCTGGTTTTCTGGAGGGAATGGGGGGGTTCGAACCGGTAGTGACCCTCCCGGTTTTCTGGAGGGGGGGGGAGGGGGTTCGAACCGGTAGTGACCCCCCCCCCCCCGGTTTTCTGGAGGTGGGGGGGGCGGGTTCGAACCGGTAGTGACCCCCCCAGTTTTCTGGAGGGGGGAGGGCTACCGGGGGAAAGGGAGGGGGTCCAGCGGGGATGGGGGGGGAATCCCGGGTTCCGGAGGAAGAGGGGGGGGGGGGGGAATTTTCCATAGTGAAACGGCGGTGGATCACGCTCTCTCCGAAAATTCGGACATGCATCGGCGTCGCCAGATCGCGCCGTGTCACGGCGCATCGCCAGATCACGATGCGGCGCGATCATCTGACCTCGTTGAAAGCCCCTGCAGGACCTCGAGACATGTGGAAGGTCTCTGGGGGCCTCCGAGGGCCCGAAGAGGACCCGAGGCGCCGAGAGGCCTCGGCCTTCGATCTGCAAGCTCTGCCCCCATTCGCGTGGGCGGCTTGGATCGGGGGCGCGCAGACACGGATTAGCGACCTATGGATCTGGCGCGCGGTCGCCAAATCCATGGATCGGGGGAGGTGCCCTCCCCAAAATGCGGCCAATCCGCGATTTCCCATGGACACGGGACCCGTCGCTGATTCACGCCCCCTAAATCCATGTTTGCGATCGCCTGATTGGAGCTGCTGTGACGGGCTGAAGGCCAGCGAGGGTCAGCACCCAAGTCAGCTAGGGCCATGGTCTGGCTACGAAGCAGCTCTCAAAGACAGGTCAACGGAGAGAGGGGCCCGTATGGGGGTAGGGGGGGGAGCTCTCCACGTCGCTCCCAAGCCTGGGCCAGCCAGAGGGGTTGGACGTTGGAGAGGACTAGACTAGCTGACCGGACCTGAATGAATGCAGGCCGCGTGTCGAAGCACATGGGCAGTGATGCAACACTATGGGCAGTAGTGCCGCGCAGCGGCTTTCCAGGCCTCTGCTGGGATAGCCGCGAGCTGTCTAACGGCATACGAACTGCTCTCTCTCTCTCCCTCACATTCTCTTAGCATGCTTACGCAAGCCATTTTTCCAACACTGCTTCGGCCTGCCCTGGGGGCGTCTACCAGCCGGCAGACGTCGGATCTGACATGAAAAAGGATCGGACTTGCGCTCAGGCAGCCCCCCGACGTCGTCCCAGCTGACCTCAACTGGCCCCACGAGTGGTCAAGGGCGGTGGCATTCCCCCTATGGGCGCCGCCATAGGCATCGCTGTGAGATCCGACGTTACGAAAAAATGCCCTAGCGAAGGACATAACCAATTCTATACGCGAGGACAGCATCAACAGGACCGCTCAATGCACATGAACTCGTTGGGGGGGTCCGCAGTGCCCCTTAAAAACTTCGCTGGATAACGTCGGACCAGAGGCTCGGCACTCTCTCACGCGACTCGAATCACACACGGGAAGACGACGATGCATGCGGCACGGAGCACGAAGGAAAGATTAATAGCTCAAGCGCAGCGCGCGGGAGCAGTCCAGGCAGGGGGCGGCACAGTTGCGCGGCGAGCTTACGATTCCCTGGCCGGCTCAGGCTCCGCAGCGCGGAGGACCTCTTCGAAGCCCAGCATCGCGACTCCTAGCTCCTAGCTTCGTGAAGTAACCATGCGGACCCTGCAACTGGGGCCTTCCATGACGCTCACAATTGGGCCACGAAACGTGCGGGGGTGTGCCAGAGTGGACCCGAGTAGCAATGCGGAACCTGCCAATGCGGCCTTCGGCGGAGATCCCTATGGGGCCACGAAACGTGCGAGGGGTGTGCCAAAATGAACCCGAATAATCATACGGACCCTGCCGCTAAGGCCTTCGGTGGAGCTCTCTATGGGGCCAAGAAACGTGCGAGGGTGTGCCAGAATGGGCCCGAATAGAGCTGAGTAGCCATGCGGACCCTGCCAGTGAAGCCTTCGGTGGAGCTCCCTGTAGGGCCACGAGACGCGTGGGGGTGTGCCAGAACGGACCCGAGTAGCCATGCGGACCCTGCCACTGACGACATTCGGCGGAGCTCCCGATGTGGCCACGAAACGTGTGAAGGTTGTGCCAGACTGCACACGGGTAACCATGCGGACCATGCCACTGATGCCTCCAGTGGAGCTCTCCATGGGGCCACGAAACGTTTGAGAAGTGCGCCGAAAGTATGACGAGAACGACGACGGTAGTGAGAATGATGCTGGGGATACTGATGGTGGCGGCGGTGGTGGTGATGGTGGTGATTATGATGATG